TCATGTCCTTTAACAAAAAAACGTGGTGACACGAGGTGGAAGGTGGTGGCAGAAAAAGTGTGTTGATGAAGTGGGCTCTGAGTGGGACGGAGTGGCAACAACTGAGTCTGACGACAGGATGTGAGCTGGTTATGGAGAGGACACAGGAAGTCAGGATGAGTTTGACAAATCTGTAAATCAGATCTGCTAAAATTTCAGTTTTATTTTCAGTAGGACTTTTCGTTAATCACAGGGTTTTCTAATCTTATTAATAAAAATTAATCAAAATTATTTTTATATATATATTATTTTTTAACCATTAATCTAAACAAAGGATAAGTTCAAAATTAACTTTTTATCATTTGCGTGCGGCCCGGCACCAAATGATCCACGGCCCTGTTCTGTTCCCCGCCCCAGTGGTTGGAGAATATAAAGAAGACAACATAAAGATTGAGATTCTTGGTGTTTTATTAAGGGTTTTATTTATTATTATAAAGTGTTTCTTGATTGATTTATTCATCACTCATCACAGAATGCTTTCCTTTATTTTTTAATTTATTTTTTTAATCAAAGAATCTCAGACCAACAAATGATGATGTTTTGATGTGACTACAAATGATTTTTACAGCTTCATAAAAAACATGATGAAGGATGTTGTCAGTCAAGACAGACGGGGCAGAAGTGAGCTGGGGGAAATGAACGGCTAATACCGCAACACGTTAGCATCCCGGGGTCAGACCCAGAGTTCAAGGAGGCGTTTTGTCAGCGCCCCCTTTGTGTAAGATTTGTGTTTAAAAGAGGGGCAGATTTGCAGTCTGTTGTGACAGCCAATGGGGATTTATGGTTGAGCCAAGGTCATATTTTAAGCCTGTGACCTTGATGCCTCCTCACAGCATAAGGATGCTGCTCGCTGTGACGCCGCCCTGTCATCATGGTGACATACGGCTGCCGGCCTCACAAATCTGATCTTTAACCTGTTCATCATCCGCTGGTGATCTGATGAAGTCACCACGGGGGGGATTTAAAGCCTGACACGAGCGGCACAGACGCTGGAGAGGAGCAGCCGAGCAGGGAACAGGAAACTGTCAAAAAGCTGTTCCTGTTGTGGACGGGAACCTGACGTTATCATCTGGAGGTGGAATCCAATCATTTTTCTTTTGAGGGAGATCAGGTGAAGAGCCATTAGGATATGGAGAGGGAGAGAGAGAGAGAGAGAGAGATGGGGAAAACCTAGTTGAATTACTACAGTGAAGTGTTCACCCTTGAGGAATCGCAGGTCGTCCTTGTAAAAGACTTGACACAAAACGCACGTGCGCGCGCACGGACACGCGCACACAGGTTTCAGCAGCTTTTTTTTTTTTTTTAGGACTGCGCTGTAATTAATATTCATTAGAGCAATTAGCACTAACCTTTAGCTAACATCCATTCACACCTTGACCGGAGCCTGAGGTTTGACGCTCTGTCTCATCAGGACCAGCAACTGGTCCCGATGCGGACCAGCTGTGGACCGCTGGTCCGGACAAGGTCAATGTGTAGTCAAGTAGTGGTTCTCAAGAGGGAACAAAAACGAGTACACACATCATACACACCTTCACCAACCAAACCCCCTCCTGCATCATCGTCTCCTCCCCCCTCTCCAACAAGCAAACCTCTCCATCTCACCCCCCCTTTTTTTTCTTTACCCCTCATTCCCTCTACCCCGTTCATCCTCCTCCCCCTCCTCCCCCTGCTCCTTGTGGATCACAGTATTGGTGGCTGAGATGGAGAGAGACGGGGATGAGCGGGTAGTAGCGCATTGTCTCACATTGTGAGCGGTCCGTGTGTGGGATGCTGTTCAAGTCCGCTGCGTAAAACAGAACAAAAAAAAAAGTGGAGACGGCGGGAGGAAGAGAAGCGCCGTGAGATTCCCCGCTGTGTGAGCCACCGGGCACCAGCCTGCACCGCTGCAGACCCCGGAGAAGCCCT